CATGGTCCCATTACTTAAACCCCACACAGGACCAGCCAGCCTGGCTGCAGAGACACGGCCGGATTTCCCCTCCTACCTTCTGGCTTGAGGATGGTTTTAACTTTCTGCAGAAAGGGCTTTTCCACGAAGGCTGGGGGCGGGCAGCTCATCCCCACCTTGAGGTCTTTGCTGTCCACATCGAACATGACAACGTCATACTGGGCTGGGGCTGCAGGAGGGAACGCAGAGACTTGTCATCCCGTGGGACAGAGAGGAGCTACACACGGCGGGGAGGCAAGGAATGGGGTGGTCAAGACACCGCCCCTGCTGTGTTATGGCCACTTCTCTCTCCTGGGGTTTCTCTTTGCAAATGAAACCCATGGCAACAGCCCTCGGCACTGGGGGAGGCAGCGAATCTAAGGTCCCCTGCACACGTTGGCAAGGACAGGCCTGTGAGCTGCAGAGACCTGGCGAGGCTGGAGATCATGACCTATGGCAGGAGATGGGCAGGGATGGGAAGCAGAGGGTGAAAGCAGCCCAGGACTCCGGTCCCCAGCATGTCACCCACTGGGCTCAATGGGGTGCCCGGGATGCTCCGCAAGACGGTACCTTCAGCTGCCAGCTTGGCCACGTAGTCCAGGCCATCGGAGACGTGCACCCGCATCCGGTCACCCTGGGAGAAACCGAACCAGCGCGTAGCCACCTCCAGCATGGAGGGGTCGATCTCCACCACGGCCACGTGGGCCTGCGAGAAGTAGTCGTGGATGAAGAGGGGCAGGCTGACCCCACCAAGCACCACCACCAGCCACCCCAGCGAAGAGAGTGACCAGTGAGCCACCAGGATGGCCATGCTCCCACTGCTCATCCCACTCTCCAGCCCCAAAACACTTCGGGAAGGGTGCACAGGACACCTTGGCCAGGAAAGCCTTTCCCCAAGGAGCCGGGGCATGGAGACACACGTGCGCCTGCCCCCAGAACAGCCTCCCACTGCTGGCCTCATCACCTGGGAGGGCGTCGGGGCCCCCCAGCAGGCAGAGCCCCGCAACCATGGCCTTGTGGTGCTCGCAGCACAGGTAACTCTTGTCGATGGCTGCAGGTGGCTCAGTGGGGCTGGGTTTCTTCTTGTCCTTCCTCCGTTTCTTCTGGCCTGAATGAAAGGAGGCATCAGCTGGTAAGGCACGGTGGGAGGCAGGTATGCCTTCTGGGGACTAGCCACCCCCAGCCCCTGTCCCACCCACAAGGCAAGCAGCAGAGTGTAAAAACGCTCACAGAGCTGCTCCGGAACAAGGCAGGCAGGTCCCAGCAGAACTTTTATCTTCCTCCTGAATCAATCTCACTCTCTGCCACCCCAAAAAGTCACTCTTTGCCCCTGCACCTTCCCGGCTGCCCCACATACCCGGGAGAGATGCAGGGGCCAGCAGCCGAGCCTCTGACTGCACCACATTCCTGTTGCGGAGGAAGATGAGGCGGCGGAAGTAGCAGGTGCCATCCCCCTTCACGTCCTCGATGACATACTCCCCACTCAGGGCACTTGTGTCGCGGTGCCGCACCGTCCGCATCCCAATGTCCCCTCCCACGGACAGGAAGGGCACCTGCAGGAAAGACAGGGACTGGGGTGAGGAAGGAAAGGCTACAGGAACAGATCCTGGCTTTCCAACTGTCCTGACCACGGCTAGAGATCTGGGATGAAGCAGACACAGTGCAGGAGCAGCGGGATGTGCTGTAGGCAGCCACACGGGAGCTGGGGACCAGTACATGGGACACCAGCTTCCCTCCCATACATGTGTTGGGTTATGGGGAGCAAACACCCCAAGACTTCTTGCAAGAGCTGTGGTCTGGGGAGTTGGGGCAGGCAGGAGGAGACAGAAGGGACAGGAGAAGTTAAAGCCAGCATTAAGAAGGGGCTGGACGCTCTTGGGGTTTTAGGATGCCTGGTTCTCTTGGGATGCTGGGTTTTGGAGGGCAAGGACTTCACACTGAATCCTGCCACACAGGCATCTCAAATCCTGTCTCCAAGCAAAGGCAGCCAGCTGGAGAGAAAACCAAGAGGAGCTACACCTGAGGCCAGTCTCCTCCTGTCACCGTTCAACCAGGACACCTCCTCACCAAGGCAGCCAGCTCACCCATTGCAGCTTAGTCTGCCTTGGAGAAGAGGGATTTGCTGCTGGCAGAGAGCCAGCCAGGCCCCAGTTTTGGGGAAGCAAAGCGAGGGGGCCAGCCGGCGGGGCTCACCTGCTGCCGGGCAGGGAGGCCCGGTGGGGCCAGCTCCATCACCTTCCCCGACAGTTCCACCTGGATGCCAGCCATGCCCTCGTAGTGCTGCTCCCTGTGCAGGGCCACAGTGACCAGGCGTCCGAAGCCCGCGCTGGCAGCCAGCTGCTTCCGCCCTTCCTCTGTCCCAAAGAGCCACTCGGTTTCTCTGCCCTGCGGGACTGCAGAATGGGCTGCCATCAGCCTGGGCCAGTCCCAGTCCCTGAGCGATCACCCCAGCCTCCAAGAGAGGAGCCACAGCGAATGGCACATGAGGAGGTACTGCTGCATGCCTAGAGCCGTGGTCTGCAACCGTCAAGAGAGCCAGGACCTTCCCCGTTTTGGACAGGCTCGTGCAAGAGGCTGGAAAAGCCACATCTCATAAGAAGGGGGCATCCAACAACCTCACGACCCATCTCCAGGCTGTGCTAAGCCCCAGCTTTGCAGATGCGCAGGGAGGAAACAGTGCTGCTGGCAGGGCCCGACACGTCTCCACAAGGTGCAAGCACAAGAGTGAAGCGCAGCCCCAAGCAGCCTGGCTCTGGCAAGTCAGGATGCCCACACAGACCCGCAACGCCTTTCTGGCCATGTCTGCTGCGCTCTGGCTTTATGCAGCGACGTGCTACAGCAGCTGTCACCAGCATCAAGGCAGGAATCACCACCCTGGAGGCTGAGCTGGCAGTGACCCTCTGCTGCCAGATGGGCATCCGCTCAGCCACCAAGCTCTGTGCCAGATCTCTGCTTGCACCACCAGGCAAACACATGTCCCATTGCAAAGCCAGGATTAAAACATCAACGAAACCCGCACAGGTGGGTTATTTCCCTCTCCAGCCCCAACTTCAGCAGGGCCAGGACTGCTGGCCGTTTTGCAGCTCCTTGCCAGAGCACCATTTCATTGCAGGCAGGAGGGGCTGTACTCACTGATGAAGATGGCAAAGTGATTGTCCCGGGAAGGTTTCATCGAGGGGCTGTCGACCACGTGCAGCGTGTAGCGAGGCATCCCGCTCTCTTTGTCACACAGATCCAGGGAAACCTGCTCCCCGCAGGGAGCTTTGCTCAGCTGGCTGCAGAGCAGGGAGTAATGCTGCCTGTCCTTCACTGCCGCCACCAGCTGCTCCACGCTCTCCACCCGCATCGGCTTGTCCTGCTCCTCGGGGCAGATCTCCAGGATCTGCAGTGCCGACCCAGGGATCTTCCTGAACTTTGTCATGACATAGACGAAGACTGGTAGGACAAACTGCTGCTTGTCCCCACTGCCAGCCACCTGATGGACACGCACGACCCAGCCTTCCTGGGAGAAGTATTCCACCGCTTTCTTCAGCACATGGGCTTGAGCCAAGGAGACACAGAGGTAGCGCCCTCCTACCTGCAGGACCCGGCTGATCTCGGCAAACATCTTGTCTACCTTGGCTAGAGTGGCCTCTTCTTCGTCGGTGAGGACAGCATCCAGCGTGCCCTTGTCCAGGACCACCTGGAAGTGGGCGTCAGGGAAGTCCATCTGAAGCATGTCCATCAACAGGTAGCTCATCTTTGGCCTCTTGCTCCTGCTCCGCTCTTGCATCTGACGGATCACTGCATCGCTGATGTCGATGTTTACGATGTCCTCACACATCCCCACATCATACATCTGCTCGCTCAGCTCCGAGTTTCCACAGCCCACCACCAGAACCTGGGGAGCGGCACAAGAGCAGTGTGATGGTGTCAACACCCTGGAAACGCGCCCCAAAGCATTTTACAAGCAAATATCAGGCACGACCCTGAGCCCTCTGTGAAAACGACACCTGCAAACCCACTCGCCAGGGCCCTGAGATAACACTTCCATATAGGAAAATCACACGGGCACAGAAGCGATGCGTCTGGTGCATCTCTTTTGGGGACGATCTGGGTGTTTTAACCCCAGAGCTCCCCATACCAGGGCAACCCGTGGGTCTCTCCTGTTCTCTTGCTGTGGCACATCGGAGCCTCCGCATCGTCTGTGTCAGCGCACGATGGCAGTTTAAGCCGGGACACGGCGGCACAGAGCTCGCCGCGCAGGAGAAGCCCAGCCCCGGGGAG